TATGTTATCGGTATTTTACTGCAAGAAGAGGAAAAAAAACCGAGGCTGAGAAGATATAAGTAATTATTCTAGGGGCACACAGCTGTCTTATGTGACTATAACAGTTGATTACAGTCATGTGTCGCTTAACAATGGGGAGACACTCTGAGAAATGTGTTGTTCAGTGATTTCATCATTGTGTGAACATCACAGAGTGGGCTTACACAAACTTACTACACGCCTAAGCTACATGGGACCACCATCCTATATGCAGTCTGTTATTGACTGAAACATCCTTATATGGTACATAACTGTATAAGAGTTTTTCACTGCAATTTTGAGTCAACAGAGCGCTATCCCCCTACATCTCGACATACAGCCCAAGTCCAGTTCATTGTCCCTTCACCTCCTCTGAGTGGTCCAGGCCTCAGTAGCCCTCATTTCCAGGAACGCCCATGGTACACGGCCTGGCACAAAAGCATCAGTGCCCTGCGTTATTCTCTGGCGGCTTCACGCATGCTGCATGCTGGGCCTGGTCTCCACAGCTGGACTGTGTGCTCTTTGAGGGCAGTTCCTGTGTCCAAGTCTTCCCACGGGCTTAGCAACTTCACTGGTGTGCTGGAAACTGAAAAGCAGGCTGGATGCCATTTCTATTTTTCACAGTTTTAACCTGCAGTTTAGCTGAAAAGTTCCCACGTTCTTTTGGTCAGCAAAACATAACAGAGTCTCCTTTTGCCCTTGATTCAATCTCAGGAAATGCCTGTTGACCACAGAACTACTAAACTGATTGCTACCTATTGTTTTCTCATTGATGGGAAAAAAGTGAACACCACTTTCTCCACTTATTCACAAGAAACTTTCATTTCTCTACTTCAAACACTGTGTGAATATTACAGGGTGCATCTTAATAGAGCAAGCCAATAAATCAAAACATGTGAAATAATGGCTTAGAGTTTAAACATGTAAACTTGAAAACAAGTTTTATTACTTATTACTTAGGAATTAGCAAGGGAAACCTAGTTTTAAAGTCCTGGCCTGCATGCTAGCCTTGGGTCCATCACTTATTTACGGCCTCCAGCGAGTCCCTCAACCCATCAGGGTTAGCTTTGCTATCCACAAAATGGGAATAAAAGTGCTTTCCCATGAGCCTGGGAGGAGGGATGGAAGACACCAAACAGCAAAGCACTTAGCAAAGGGCAGCACCCTCGATGGAGGAGGCGCCTGGAATAGAGCACCTCTGAGTCCAGAGAGGAAGGAGGGAGGTGAAGGCACCTCCAGGTCCTCTGCTCCGGTTCCTCTGCACAGCTGATCAGCTGCTCTCGCAGATGCTCTGAGTCTGCGTGGGCTTTCAGAAGTGGTCAGTGGATCTAAACAGGGAGGAGAGGATGCTATTCTGGTAGAACAACCCAAAACACTTTTTTTCAACCCTCCTCTCAAACAATAATGCACATACCAATAATACACAGCCAGGTGGGAGTTATTTATAGAGAGGAAGGTTTTTTTTTTACTTTCTATTCTGAAATAATTATAGACTCACAAGAAGTTGCAAAAATAGTACAGAGAAGTCTATGTTCCTATTACTCAGCTTCCCCCAATGGTAACATCTTATATAACTATGTTATGTTCTCAAAACCAGGACCTGACACTGGACAATACAATAAACTAGACTACAGATCTTAATCAGATGTCATCAGTTTTTGCACACGCTGTCATTTTCACGTTTACAGACAACTATAATGGTGCAGGGGTAGAGAAAGCACTGGTAGAGAATTATTTACAGCACTGTAGTGAAGTCAATACAATGTAATTTTGATAGGCAGTTCAGGAGTTTGCAAACATTACTTTACTACAAACAGTATTTCTTTGTGATTGTGTCCATGGTGGTGGGATGATGTTTGCAGCATCTTACTGCAGTCTCCCACTCCAGGAGGTGAAGAGACTTCATTGATCCTTGTTCCCACAACAGTTCTCCAAGAATAAGGAGGAAAGTGTTGTTTCCCTTTCCAGAGGAGCAGCCTATGCCCATTACAGTCTTCATCCCAGACCCCCTCTGTAGTCAGCACTGCCCAGCGCTGATCCACCAAAGCAAAATCGCAGGATTCCCTCAGCTCTAAGAGCAGCTCCAGGTGGAACTTGGCGCTGGCCTCGACATGCTCCAGGTCCATTGAGCAATGCCGCCATCTGGTGGTCAGACAAAGAACTAAGAAAATCAGTGATAAGTAGCTCTACAAGGACCTTGAGTTACCTCTCAAGCCTACCCCAGGAGGCTCTACTTAAGGTACACCTGTACTGAATATTCTAACAAAGAATGTTTTGTAATGAGGATAACTCTTGTGCAATAGATTAAATACGGCTACAAACTCTTTGAAGCCCCTCCCACGGAGAGGTGGAGTCTATTTCCCCATCTCTTGAATCTGGGCTGGGCTGGCGACCTGCTTTGGAACAGAATGCACAGGAAGTGAGGCTGCACAACTTCCAAGGCTCTGCGTCAAGAGGCCTCAGAGCTCCCCACCTCGCCCTCTTGGAACACTGCCGCCTTTTGAATGAGCCTGGGCCAGCCTCCTTGAGGATGGGACTCTACATGAAGAGAGAGGACCAGCAGTCTCAGCCATTTCTTCTGAGGCCCCAGACAAGGGATTGAGGCCATCTAAGACTAGGCAGTCGCAGCCCAACCACGACCAGCTGCAGTGATGACTGAGGCCAGGCAGACTGGCCAACGCAAGTACTAACCCACAGAAACATGAGAAACAGTAAATTGTTGCTTTAAGCCACTGAATTCTGGGGTGGCTTGTAACATAGCAGTAAATAACTGAGACATATCCGCAAATTTATGTTTTAAAAATCTGTATTCTGGATTATAAGCTTGTTAAAAAATAAAATTCAACCGAATAAATTGGAAGATCTAATTGGGTTTATTCAGCAAGTCATCCAATCAGCAAGTAGAGAGATACTCCAAGGACATGTACAAAATGTAAGGTTTTTATAGGCAGCAGGGTGGGGCAAGGAATTTATTAGCAAAAGAAAAGAAAGGACTGTTTCAGGCCAGGACATCTTCTTTTGAGGGAAGGGAATAGCAGGGGTCTTCTGTAGATAATCTCACTAGTGTTAGTCAGGAAATTCTAGACTGGTCGATTGAGATTACTTTCCTGCTGATGGTTCAATTTGTAATTAGTCTTGGTTTGCTGTCATAGGGACAGATGACTCCATTTGGGGCCTGTTATTTCTCTTTTAACAAACTGAAAGTTTATTATTACTATTTTAAATTGGGTGTAGGGGCAGCATACATCAGTATTTCCACATGGTGAATCTTGACTGTTGCACAAATTTTGAATGTTGCATACTCTGATTTTCTTATGCATTTTCAGACCCTGCCACATGTTATCCTTCATTCATCCATCAAACATTAATTGAGCGTGTCACAGTGATAGCTACTGGGGAGGTGCTAAGGACTCAGCATTGAATTAGATATGATGCCTGCCCTTGAGAAAGTCACAGCTATGGCAGAAGACACATGTGCAAATACATCATAGCAACAGAGTGGTATGTGTTAGGGTAGAACAGAGGAGTGACTACCTGTGTATTGGGGAGGGGCACTATATTAGTCAGGACCCAATCAGGAAAAGAGAAACTGATACCGGCTCAACACAAGGTGGACAAGAGGGAAGCCATATTGTAGGAAAGAAACCATACTGTAACTTTGAATGACCTCTGACTAACTAACCCTGCTGGATATGCACCCTCCAGTTCTGTAGATTTTACGACCCCTGCTTGTGCATTTACCTCCCAGCTGTGATAAGATGATAACTTTGTTCTTCTGAGTTCCTTAGGAACGTGATGACCCCAAAACAGAGAGTCTATCTGGTGTGGCCACTCCCAGTTTGTAACACCAGAGGGTCAACATTCCTAACCCCCTCCCCATGTAACCCACTGGCCTATAAAACTGCTTCAAGATTCTGTGCCCCCCTCAAGAAGGCTCTTTCAGACATTAGTCGGCCATCTTCCCCCTTGCTAGCAAGCTGTAATAAAATGCCATTTCTCTGCCACCATCTTGCCTCTTGACAACTGGCTTTTGTCTCACGGTGAGCAGATCGTGCCCTTTGTACAATGACAAAATCACTCCAAGTATTTAGAACAAAGAGAATTTAATCCAGGAAATTTGTTATACAGGTGAGAAGGCAAACAAACGATGGTGGGGACAGGAGGGGGTTGGGTAGAGCCCTGGAAGATGGTCAGCTACTTCCAAAGACACCACCAGCCACAGAGGAGGAGAGGCAGAAATGCCCAGGCATCTCTCTTTCTCCCCTCCAATCTCCCACCAAGGCCTCGCACTGCTCAGAGCCAGAAGGAGCCCAGGAGATGCAGCCTGCAGGGATCAGCACCCTGGGATGTGAAGCGCAGCAAGGAAAGAATGACAGCAAACAGGTTAGCATTTGCCAAGGAGTGTTGTGGGCTAGAAAGGTTTTACAGCTGAGGAGACGAATGGATTATTTCACGCCACCTGTACATTTCTCCACCATAGCCCCCTTCCCCCTGCCCCCCCTGAACCCCCCGCCAGTATCAGGGTCTCTGCCAATCTTTCTTCCTGGTGCAATTCTAGCTCTGCCATGAAAGATGGTCAAAGGCCATCATGGCAGAGATGACATGATTCCTTTTGTACACATATGGGCCCTTCTTAAAGGAGAAGCTCAATGAACACTTGAATGAGGAGCATTAAATTACGCGGACAGAGGACGGGGCACTTGGATGTGAGTCAAGATCTCAGCCAGAGGCGAAACCTTAGGGATCACTGGCCTCCCCCTGAATAGTGCGGGGGCTGGGCTACGGGGGCCAAGGGCTCTTCCAGGTCTCACATTGTTAGGTAAGCCTGGAAGAGAACCCCAAGCCCCTCCTCAGCCCCCCTGAGACCTGGGAGACACTGTGGCTGGATGGTGGCTATGAGGACTTTGGACTCAAATCCTAGCTCTGCTTCCTGCAATCCATGACCTGAAGGAAGCTGTTCTCTCTCATGGCCTGTGTCTCCTTGTCAGTAAGATAGGGTAATAATTCCTAATTTACAGGGTGTGGTGAGGGCGAAGTTCATCCCGTGAGCACCTGTCGGATGATCTACGGCAGTGGCTTTCAGAACAGGGTTCCTGGACCAGGAGCAACAGCATCACCTGGGAACTTGTTAGAACTGAAATTTCTGGGGGGCTCCACCCCAGACTTGCTGAGTCAGAAACCCTGGGGGGAGCCCAGCAGTCTGTGTTTGAATGAGCCCTCCAGGGATTCTGATGTCTGCTAAAGTTTGAGAACCAACGATCTAGCTAGAACATAATGGACCCTCAATAAACAGTAGCTGTCATTGCTATTTTTACAGCTTTAAGGAAAGAGTTTGCCAAAGGAAAATGTTCACATATCACCAACTGCTAGGGCCATCTGGGATGAGCTGGAGTTTGAGGACACCCAAGACTTTGAGTTCCAACACCAACAGTAAGTGGTTTGGGGATTCTCCCGGCCACTCCACAGAGGGCTGAGACTGACCACGCTACCTCAGAGCTGACTCCCTCGCAGGCCTGTCCAGGGCCGTTTCTGATCCTACCTTACCCGCTCAAGGTAAGATGTTCCTCTGCATCCCAGAGGAGTCTGGGAATATCTCAAACGGGGTGAGGGGGAAAAGGGACAGAGAGACTTTCCGAGAGAGGGAGAAGGTACAAAAGAAAGAAAGAAAGATTCATCCCTAAAAAGTTGAAGTGAACAGCTGAGTAAAGAAAAATCTGCCCAGAAATTTGGGGGGTAAGAATGTTCAGAAAAGAGGAAGGAGAAAAGGAGAGCAGGAAGCCTGGGAGATTCCTGATACCACAAATACACCAAAGGGTGATGTGCTGGCTCCGGAGAAGCAGGAAGAAGCAGAAACAACACAGAAGGAGTTGAAGTAAATAATATTCCATTCTTTTTTTCCCCCTTTCTTGCTGATTCTATAGAAGCAGAGTCTTAATCTTCTACGGGAGCATTGTGATACTTGTTCTGTAGCGGAAAGAGCCCCTGACTCCACCGACTAGATGGGTCAGCTGCCACTAGATGGGGGTATTTTGCTGATTTGGGTGGGAGACACTTAGAAAAATCTATTTTGAGATGTTCTGCAGTCACCATTTGGGCTCCATTTGGGCTTGCCCAGGAGAAACCAGGAGGAGAAGGCAGGTTTGTACTCAAGCAACAGCTGACAACCGACCCGAACAACAACAAGGAGAGAGAGTGTATAAGAAGGATGCTGGAACAATCAGGGAGGGAGCACCGGAGCTGCTGGGAAGAGGCAAGGTCGAGGCCACAGTTCAGTGTCCTGGCCATCGGCTTCTGTGGTCCATACGCGGGCCACTGTGTTTCACCACGAGACAAGCAGAGGACCAGGATGGAATTGCTGAATTCACTAGAAATATAACTGTGCCCCCATATCCAGGGATTCCTTTCTTTACTCCTCTTGGCACAGTGAACGGATCTTTAGATTTCTTCCCCAGCGGCTACATGTACATCTCTACTTATTTGAAATGAAATAAGGCACTGGCTCTTTAATTCTGAGGCTTGGTGCACCAACCTCAGCAGGCATCAGCCTCACTGGAGGGCGGGTTAAAGCCACCACCGCTACCACCGCCCCCAGAGTTTCCGATTCAGTAAGTCTGGAGTGAGGTCTGACAATCTGCATTCCTTCAAGTTCCCAGGTGCCGCTGCCGCTAGAACACTGCGAACCAACATTCTAAGGTAATAGCTTTCCTCTAAGTTCTCTTACTTTATAGATCAAGTCATCTTTATCTTCTTGTCAGTTTGGTAGCCATCCCCGCCATCCCAGTGATAAGAATAGGCTGGGTGCTGGTGAAACTACAACTTTCCAGCCAACACCCACCCTCCCGCCCCAAGATCCTGAGGGCCTGGAATGCCACCCTCAAGGGCCCCAGGTGAGGTGCATCTGAACCACAGGAGCCACAGGCGTCCTGCAAGCCAACGGGGTGCCCGGCACGGTGCTAAGGGATTGACAGGCTCTATTTCATTTAATCCTGCTTATACATCTCCTTGCATTTGCTCTTTATGGGTGAGGTATCTGAGGCTCAGAGGGGTGAAGTAACTTGCCCCAAGTCACACAGCTATCAGGTGGAGGAGCTGGGATGCAAACTCAGGAAATGTGACACCATCCCGGTCCTGTGCTTTTATTCACTCTTCTATTTCCTCCTAACTAAAAGAGGTCTGCAGCCTCGACCAGGGATCACTGACAAATCTCTTTGGTGAAGAGAAGCTGATTTCCTCCAATAAGGAACACCTAATAAAAATAAAACAAAGGGACAAGGCAGGCACTGAGTGTGTGTGTGAGTCTGTGTGTCTGTGTGTGAACTCTGGGTCGGCAAACTATGAGAAGGTGGGAAAAGGGCCAAGCTTGGGAGTGAAGCTGACCAGAGTTTAAAACCCACTTAGTTCATTAACACTCTCCCGCCCTTTGGCGAGCCTCTTAACCTCTGTGCACCTTGGTTTAATGATCTGTAAATTGGGGAGTCTTTTTTCCCATTGGAAGTTAAGAGAATTAAGTGAGATAACATACATGAAAACTTCTATTTAGTTCAAAAGACTTTTTCAAAGTTTTTGGTAAAATACACACAGCACAAAATTTGCCATTTTCTCCTAAACCTTTCAAAAATAGCTTTTAAAGCGATTTTGTCTTAGCTCCCAAACAGGGTAGTGATCCCAGAACCCCTCGCAGGCCTCAGGTGCTCTGGGAGGGATGGCCTGTGTCCCAGCAAGGCAGCATCCAGCACCTCGTGTGACAGCCCGAGCCTGTGCCCCGCTAACATGGCTGTCCGGGATCCAAGCTCACCAGCAGGCGGGTCTTTCACGGTGGGAGTTGGAGGTGAAGAACGAGGTTGAAGAAGACAGAAATGGATCTTTTCGTGTTTCATGGGATCATCCCTGTACTCAAGAACCAGAAGAGTTTCTGCTTTCTGCAAATCCAGCTTTGGGGGTTTTTAAACATCAACAGAACCTCCCAGCTACTACCCAGGTGTTTTTAAAGCAGAAAACTCTAGAAAGAATTAGTAAAATACAGTTCCTGGACCAGCGGTGCTTGAACAGTTTGGCAGGCTACTTGGATTTGGGAGTAAAGTTGGGGTTTTTTTTCTTTTCATATGTCTTTTGTAATAGCAAGAAATACTGTTATGAGAAAATAGAACTTTTGGACAAGGAAGTTTTTGAGTGAAGAAAAAAATGCTGGGTGGCTGGGCTTCTTGCCTTAACACCTCCAGAAACAGTCCAGGTGAACACACTGCAAGGGAACTGGCCCAGGCCCCATCCTCCAGACCAAGGCCCAGGGTCCACGTTGCTGAGGTTCCGGAGACTTCATGGCTCTAGCAGCAACACTGTCAAGTCCTCTGCCTTCTTGTCTTAGGACATGCTGGAAGGTTTGTATCTGGGGGGACCCAGGAAGGGCCTCCAGGCTGGCAGCTAAGAAAGGAACAGCTCAGGAAGCTAATGAAGTAGGTCTTCCCTCTCACCTGCCCCCGACCCGGGAGTGGGTGGTGCAGAAGGCTCCTCTGATGAGGAAGAGTATTTGGGAGAGTCACCTGGAGGCAGCAGACACCCACGGGCAGAGTCACAGAACATCAGAGCAGGAAGGGGCTCTGCAGCTGCTCCCAGGTCCATCTGGTCTCCCAAAATGGATGAGCACCCGCTGGGTGGCTCCAGGGTCCAGGCAGAACCTGGTGTCCCTGCTCTCCATCCACTGCTTTGTCCTGTACATTTCCCTGCCTCCCTCAAATTAGGCAAAGACAACTTCAGCCACGTCTGGGCTCTGTCCTGGAGGAGTGGCCAGTCCAGGAGGAGGCAGGTATCTAAACTGACCATTCCCACACCGGGTGGGAAATGGGCATTCTAGAGGAGTAGGAGCCTGGAAGAGAGTACCGCTAGATGCTCATGGGGACGGAGGGGGAACATGCACCTTTAGTCCAGGTGGGCTCCCCTGAGGAGGTGAGGTCTGAGGTGAGGCTTGGTGAGAGAGTAGGACGAAGCCAGGCAAAAAGTGGGGGTTGAGGCAGGGGCTTGTAGGCACAGTGAACAGCACCTGCACAGCCACAGGGAATTGAAAACAATCTTGGCCTGCCATAGAGTTGTGAGTTGTCCAATGGCAGGAGACTGGGTTGAAGAGAGAGATTTATAAGACATTTAGGACTGAAAGTTGGCAGAACTCGGTGATGACTGGACATGGAGCGGGTAGGGGTAGAGGTGAGGGAAAGGAAGGAGTCTAGGATGACTCATTGGTCTCTGGCCTTCTGAGTCAGTGGTGGAGTCATGTAGAACAGGAGGAGAGAGAGCAAGAGGATGATGAGTTCAAATTCAGACACATGCAGTTCGTGGCATCAGGGGACATAATGAGGAAACGGCTGCAGGCCTCTGGACACCCACATCTGAAGCGCAGGAAGATGACAGAGACCTATCTTTCCTTGTTATTTGTGCTTTCTGCAGTACCTCTGTTGACAGTTTCTTCTCTTATCTGCGTCCACCCTGAGGTATACGTGTTTGTATGTTTTTCAGCTTATACACAGCTGGCCTGGGAGGGGTGGAAGAGGTCCCAGATGAAGACTGGTATGGAAGGCAAGGACAAAGAATGTGCTGACGGCGATGGGAGACACTGGAGGAGCAAGGCAAGCTGGAGGAAGTGTGGGAAGCTGCTGAGTGAAGCATAGCCTCACCAGGGATGAAGGCTGCCATCTTGAAGGGTCAGGAAAGTCCAGCTGAATACCACAGGATCAAAAGGAAAAGACAGGTGCAGATAGAAAAGTAGAGAAAGATCTGAACCTCAGATAACGAGAACCATGTTAAGCTGGACAGAAGCTCCCAATACCACTGAGGATGTTTCTCCCAAGCTGGACCCAGGTGACTTCTGCACCCTCTCTCTGAGCTCACTGGAGCTAACATGAGCGTCCTATGCATGACCAGCGTCTGCTGACCAGTGGCCCCAGAGCAAATGTGTTTACATGCTTTCACACAAGTAATGTTACATCTGCTCCCCTCCTCCTGAGTAAGGGGATGAATAAGGTAAGGAGAACCAAGTCACCTGAGCCCAGGAAGGAGTCCCCAATCAACTCTGAGTGGAGGTCAAGGTGGCCACAAAATTACCCCACTATATTGCCCCCCATACTCCCTGCCAAGCCTTGGTGGGAGAGGAAGCTGTGGAGGGGACAGGAGGAAAGGTGGGCTCCATCTCTCTGGCAGATCCTTATCCTGGCTCTGCAGAAAGGCGGACCTTGGACCTCCAGCTGGACCCCCGCCAACCTTCTCTTCCCAGACCCCACCCTTACCCATGAGACACTCACACCCAGCTGGTACTAACTCAGGGGCCCAGGTCCACCCTGCTGTTCGGGTTTGGCTGGTTCAAAAACACACAATCTCAGAAAAAATGTAGTTTTCTCTCCACCACACAAGGCTGGTGACCTACCCTACATGATTCCTTCAGAAACAAAAGCATCCTAACCTTCCAAGGTCAGCATTACTCCACCCCAACCCACAGCCAAGGCCATCAAACACACAAGCAAGCAGCATATTTTTACAAAATCCTTAACAACCTTCTTTCCAGAACTCTGGGGCAAGCAGCCCTGGGGCCGCCAACCAGACTTCCTTCCTTGGCCCAGGCCTCGATGACGAACCCGCCTCAGCTCAGCAGTTGGCCAGAAATGCCGAGCTGCCTTAGTGCCCGAGTTCCCAGACGTGTCTGCATTGCTGAGGATCAGGGGAGGCCGCAGCAGGTCTGGGCGCTGGGGCAGGAGTGAGAAGGAGACAGCACAGCTGGGGCTGAGAACACCCAGAACCGGTGGGGGGTGGGGGTGGTGCTGGGGAGGCTCTCTCACTGCTGTGTGGGGTATATTCTGGAAGCCTCAGACCTCCATGGCCAAGGCAGCCACCTGCACTCAGGCCAGGGGCTTGACCTACGTGAACTCTGTTCATCTTCACAACAATCCTGCCATGGGGGTTATTTTACATTTTACGGATCAAAGTTGCCCAAAGTCGCCACCAGGAAGCTGCCCCAGCCAGGATTCAAACTGATGCTCCACTCTGCCTCCCCACCGAGTCAGTCCTCAAATTGAGTTCTCTCTGGAAGGCTTTCTTTCTTCCTGACATCTACACACAAGCACTTTCCCTAATGTAAAACTCTCTTCATGTGAAGAGACAGGCCAGTCAACAAAACAGTCCTTGAGAGAAGGCTATGGAGCATCGTAGCATCCTGAGAACCAGATTTTGTCTGTTTTGTTCATGGTGGAATGTCCGGGGTCTACGACAGCGCCTGGCGCATGCTGACACAGAGGAGGTCCCCAATACATGTTTGTTGACCCAACACCCTTCTAGATGGCAGATTCTTGCAAAGTTTTCTTGGTGTCCTAGTTAAATCCCTTCCTAAAAACAAGGAAAGATTTCAAGAGCGCCCAGCTGGACTCAAGTAGCCACGTGGACACAGCATAAGTCAGATATGTGCAGGCTCGCCCTCAGTCCTCAGAGACCAGACTACACGCAATGGACAGAACGACATCCGACTGCTTTCCTGTGTCTGGCCAGAAATGCCCCCTGCACAGTTACCTCCTGGAAGGACACTGACAACTCCCCACACCCCTTTCAGTTATGTATCAGCCCCTGAAGGATTCTCAGCCCTCGTGGGACACTTCAAACGCTTCTTGCCAACTCCGCAGCAGAGTGGGCCCTTCCCATCCAGTGCTGCCGGTCTGGCCCCTGTGTCCCACTGAGGAATGACAGATGCACTGGACCCCCTCCAGCCCCACATCCTAGAAAGCTCCTCAGCCAGATTCTCTTTAAGTAATGCTGTGTCTGAAGGTCCTGCAGCACCACTGACTTCCTTTAGGAGAAGAACAGACCGACTGCAGTGGCCCTGCTGAAACTGGGCCCCTGGCCGCCATGTTATTTCTGCTGACCCAAAGGGAAAACACAGCTAAGGAGCCAGGCCTTCCATCGGCCTGGGAATGGCCCCAGACAGCAGCAAACCAAGGGCCCTGCCTCAAGGAGCTCACAACTGGCTTGAAAACCAAGACAATTTTAAAATTGTTTTGAATTTTGATAATTTAATTAAATTTTAAAAATATCTATATTTAAAAATAATTTTAAATTTTTAAATAAAAACAAATAATTTTAATTAGTTTTTTTAATTGTGAAATAAGAAATGTACCATAAAGCACATAAAGGGCACTGCTTGTTAACATACCTGTACACCCACCAAACCCCGCCCAGATCAAGATACATAGACTATTTTCAGTACCTCAAAAGGTTCTCTCATGTGCCTCCTCCATTTGTCTATACCTCCTCCTCAAGGTAACCACTTTTTGACCTCTAATATCAAGTATTAGTTTTGCCTGATTTTGAACTTCATATCACTGGAATTCTATCATACATGCTCTTTTATGTCTGGCTTCTTTCACTTAACCTATGTGTGAGATTCATTTATATTGTGTGCCAGTAGTCTGTTCTTCTAAATTTCTGAGTGGTATTCCTTCATATTAACATACTACAATTTCTTTATCCATCTGCCAGTTTGGGAACTATTTTGAATAAAGCTGCTATGAACCTGCTTGCACGTGTCTCTTTATGGATGTCTGTACTCACTGCTCTCGATATACACGAGCAGATTGGCATGGTCATAGGGTAGACGTGTATTTAACTTTAGTAGAAATTGCCTGAGTCCCAAGATGCCTGTACCATTTTATCTTCCCACCAGCAGTGCATGAGAGCTCCAGTCGCGTGCTGGAGTACTTCATTTGTTTTTACAGCCAAATAATATTCCATTGTATGTATAGACTACGTTGTGTTTATTCATTCATGAGTTGATGTACATTTGAGTTGTTTCCACTTTTGGACTATTAGAAACAATGCTGCTATGGACGATCATGTACAAGTCTTTGTGCAGACATGTGTTTTCATTTCTCTTGGGATAGACCTAGGCGTGGAACGGCTGGGCCATGTGGTGGCTCTATAAGTAACCTTTGGAGGAACTGACAAACTGCTTTCCAAAGTGGTCGCACCATTTTACAGTCTCACCAGCAAAGAATGACAGTTCCAATTTCTCCACATCTTCACCAACACTTGGCATTGTCAGCCTTTTTTCATTTTAGTTATTCTGGTGGGTATGTAGTAGTATCTCATATAAGGTTGTATGTTCCTAGTGAGTAATAATGTTGAGCACCTTCTCTTACCCTGTCACCTCCACTCCCTCTCCCCTTGTCCTGCACACAAAGATGCTGACACCCGTCTACCCCACGGAGAATCACTAGACAAGAACGTCTGCCTGGCTTGAATTCCTACAGGCTCTATTACAAAAGTAGCAGTTGTTTCATTAAACCAAAGTCAAGTTATGTTAAAACATTCAATAGGTTTGTTCAAACCTCCCTTAGGAAATTCAGTTGCCCACTGATCCAAAAAAATGTTCCAACACTGCTTCTGTCCTCAGAAACAATAGTAGCTGCTAGAAGGATGAAAGGGGCAAATAAGTGTGAGTGGGAGTGATCAGGGAAGCCTTCCTGTGGAGGTGAGCTCACCTGGGACTTGAAGAGCAGGTTAAATGGGTAAACCAGCATACATTCTTTGCAAAGAGACCATCCTGAAGGAAGACAGAAAGTAGACTCTGGGAACGCTGGGGCCAGGAAGGAGCCTCGATTTGGCAGGAGGGCTGCAGGTACCGGTTGTGCGGCCAGGTAAAGTTGCAGATTAATTAACGTGACATCTGTAAAGAGCTTTCCATGTCACAGGTGCAGTGAGGGGTTCAGGATGGGAGTCAGTTGCCTTTTTTATGGAGAAGGTGCCAAAACAAAACACACAGTAAAGAAAACCCAAGGGGACAGATGAGAAACAAGAATCACAAGGGTGTCTTGATTTTGTCCACAGAGTCACAAACAAAACCCACATGGACCTAAAAGGGCCATTAGCCAACGCTCGGTCTAGATGAGGAGATTGGCCCCAGAGGGGTCGTCCAGTTGGCTGACAGTCCCTTCTGAGAGCTTTCACTCTTCTCCTCAGCACTGTCAGCCCAGCTGCATCTTGTTTCAAAGGAGAATGAACAAACAGAAGAATAAAGGGGGAGGTCCTCGTGGTTCCTGCAGGATCACGTGGCCGCATTCTAAATACCCCCAATCTCAGCCTCACTGCTCCCTCCCTCCCCCAAATCCTGCTCTACACTCTGGTCACCCTGACATTCCATCAGCTTCAGGAATGTGCCCAGATGCCCTTCCAGCTGCCTGAAAAGCTCCTCCCTCTCCATCCTCTGGCTTTTTCCTCTTCATCCTTCAAATCTCAGCTTGTGTTACTTCTTCAGGGAAGCCTTCCCTTACATACCACCCCCTCTCCGAGTCCAGATCCGTTCCCCATGTCATATGTTCTCTTGAAATCCTAACACTTATCTCTGTTGCAATTACACCACCTCATCTTGGTGTTTGCTTGATGAATGTCTGCACAAGAGCAGAAACCACATGTTTCAGCTCATTACCATATCCCAATGCCTTGCACAGTGCCTGGCACACAAATGAATGAATGAGTGAATGACCACAGGGAGTCTAGCAATAGTGAGATCTGGTCTTAGGCCATGGTAAGACAACCTAATGACCCAGCAATTCTGTCCCCAGGTATATACCCCGCAGAAATGTGTATGTATGTTCTCCATAAGACATGTACAAAAATATTCATGACAGCATTATTTCTAGGAGCCGGAAACTAGAAAAACCTAAATATCCATCAACAGTAAATGGATAAATAGATTTTGGTATAGTCATTTAATGGAATACTATATAGCAGTGAAAATTAACAAAATATCATTACTGGCTGCAACATGGATGAATTTCACAAACAAAAGAAAGTCACAAAAAGAGAACATATTGTATAATTCCAATTATGTGAAACTCAAAATCGGGCAAACTAAACTATGGTCGGAATGTTCAAAATTGTAATGATCTTTGGAGGGAGTTCGTGACTGGAAGGGAGTAGAAACAGGATTATTGTTGAATGATCTAATCCAAAAATGTATGAAATTTACAGCAAAAAGTAAAACAAATCTTGTTCTGTACAGCTGTAAATGTGCTGACAAACACACACAGTGTGTGATTGGGAAGGGAGCAAGTAAAGGAATTCAGTGAAAACTGGGTCTATTTAGTGCAAACAGCATTGTAGAGAAGTAAGCATGTGACAGAGAATGCAATTTGGGAAGGGGGACTTTGATCCCTTTACTTTTTGTAAAAATAGCATTATGATTTTCTTGCTTTAAGCAACTTCTTCCCAAGCCCTGTGGTTATGAAGAAGTTGTGACTCTGTACTCCTAAATGCATGTTATTCAGGGTTTGCTGCCAAAAGATTGAGTTTCACCCCCTCTAGGTCTGAAAGTGTGAATGTTTGTGCAAATGCATTTGCGCTCTCTGAGCCAGACCGGCTGGCACAGGGAAGGTTTGCCCACTGCCCAGTTAATCTGCTGTCAGGACGAAGGGTAGGGAATAGTGTTTCTTCACAGCTTAAGCTTGTGATTAAGTTTTGAAGCCTTTCGCAACTTGGGCCAGATGCTCAAGCCATGAAAGCAGCAATCTTGGACAAACTCCTACTGAGATGCATGTTAATTAGCAACTTTACCTACAAACCTTTTGTATGTGGCGCAGTGTCCTGAGTTCTGTGGGTGGTAGCAGGTGTTTAAGCAGAAGGCATAGAACCTAGAGATGATGGCAGACTGGTGGGGCACACAGGCACTCTCATACTCAGGATAGTTATTTTTTTTCAAAATAAAAATGCATCAATCCAGTGATCTTACGTATAGAAACGTATCCTTCCAACGGGCTCACACAGACACGCAGAGATGCGTGTGCAAGGATGCTCAGAGCAGCACTGTCAGTAATAGCAAGATATTAGAAACAACCTCCATCAACAGGGCCTGGGCTGACAAATTATGGTCATTCATGGGCTAGAATACTATTCAATCAAGACAAAAGCACGGGGTGGTTTTGTATGTGCTGACAGGCAACAGTCTCTTCAGAGATACATTCTTAAAACAAAGTTAAATAAGGCAGCTAAACAGTGTGTATATGTTCCTTTTTGCATAAAAAGGATATGTATGCAGATACAAGTTTTTATAAGTAGAGAATATCTCTGGAAAGAGACCCAAGAAACTGAGGAGGAGAAATACGAGAGGTGAAGCGGGTCTTAGGAAGAAGAAGGGAGATGTACTGATTATGACATATACCTTTGCATCATTTGCATTGTTATCATATGCATGCAATTTTTTCAAATAATAAGTTCAGTTTAGTTTTCTTCACTGGAAAAATACACATCTAGAAGACAGAAACTTAATTTTTTCCCAAATCAATACGAGCCAAATAGCATAGATACACAGCTTGTGTGGAGACATTAAAACAAGGGCTGAGCTACGTGGCATTATTGGGGTTATTTGGGGATGACTTCAAAAGCAAGTCAGTCCTGAGCAGGGGCTAGAAGGTTATGACATAATTAGACCCTCCCTCCCCCAAAAAGACTCTAATAAATCTCTGAAATGTTTTATATCTATGGCCAGCCTGTGAAAGAGCCCGACCCACTTTCCCTCCTGGCCTCAGGTATCTTGATGTTATTATTATGTTCATTAAATTTACATTTCTCCAGGGACTAGTTAAGATCACACCTTTAAAGCCAGATGGGCTCGGGTTAAAATCCTGGCTCGGCCACTTACTCGCCATGTGTCACTGGCAGATCACCCTTCTGTTTCCTTATCTGTTAGGTGTAGAGAGTAACACTTCCTCATAGGGGCTACTGTGCAGGTTAAATGAGGTCCTGTAGGTAAACTTGCTCAGCCCAGCGCCTCAACCGCTGGGATGACGTTAGGGCTCAGGGAATGGCAGGGAGTGATCATTTCCCCATTTTGCCTCTCGCGGACCCCACTGCTCCTGAGGACAGCAATGGTTAACATGGAAGTGCGCCTGGCTTCCATCGCTTTTCCATTTGGCTTTCCGGCAGGCTGGGCAAGCAGGGTCTGAGTGCTATCCCAGGGGCTGGGGACGAGGTGGGAGCACCACCTGTCTCCAAGTCTCACTGTGGCAGCTGAGCAGCCAGCTCTGACACTCAGCTTCAGAGAGGCGGGAAGGGACAATTATTCCCTGCCATGGATGTGCCTCAAGGGCCACCTGAGGCCAGCCCAAAGCCCAGAGGGCAGACAGCCAGGCCTGGACTTCCCTCATGATAATGGCTGAGCTGGGGGGAGCAGGGGCCACTGCGGTGATGATGACGATGATGAAAATGACAGAGCTGCCCGACAGGTGTGCCAGGTACATACACAACCTCACCAATCCTCTCAGCAATCCTATTTTACTGACGAGAAAATATCCACCATTAAGATTAAGACTTCTCAAGTCAGCGGGTTGGGGTCTAGGTATATTTAGGACCCTCTTGAAATCAGAATATGAGGGAATTTTTACATACAATCCATGCCAAAATTTTAACATCTTGGCTTATAGGATAAAATGAGCTCACCCACAAGATTGAATAAGGTAGGCTAAAACATAAAATTTGATGCAAATGCAAACCCAGTTTCAAAAGATTAAACAGAGGGAATCAT